TGGCAGTGGTCTTCTGTGTGGTCAGAGGAAGCACAACGTGTGGTACGGTGGTCTTCTTCTGGGTGAAGGCTGCTGGGAGGAAAGCACAGGTCTGTTGAGTGTGACTGGTAAGATAGGAAGTTGGGTTATATAGTGAGTTCTGGGGTAGAAACTTTGTACTATGTTATGGGCAAGGACGGCAGGACTCGGTCCCACTGATTCTGTTCCTTTTAAAGATGACTGAATATGGCCATGATCCCCAGTATGTCCTATCCCGTCCTGCTTCTTCTGAGTATTGCAGGCTGGTGATGGTTTCTTGGTTTTCCTCTAGAAATTGTCTCCTTCCTTCTGGAGCTCTTGAGAGGGGAAGAGATATCTCTACTTTCCTGTGCGATTCCACTGGTTCACAGGTAGTCTACCATTTGTCTGCTGCAGACAGTGCTGTATAGTATCCATGGGAGAGCCGAGGCTCCTGAAGGGACAGCCATAGGCCATGGGTGACTCTTAGCTCTCTCCTGACTAGAGCACTCACCTGTTACTACTTTACTAGTTGGAGTCTTAGCTCTGGTTGGCTCCCTTGCTACAAAGAAAGGGACGAGAGAAAAGAATGGTTGAGTCTTGGGAAGGATTCTAGGCAAAGTATGTTGTGGCAGCTCTTGAAAGGAGGCTGTCCTGTTCAACATCAAGACAACCCAGGCTTATGGAGCCCAATGGGCGTAAGTGGGAGAATTTTAGTCTGGAGTTGGGTGTACACTTTCTTGCCCACCCTCTTTTGTACTCTTTTGTGACTCTTGTACCCAGGGTCAGCACTGGCCAGAGATGTGGTATTTTTTCACCTGCACTTGTCATGGGTGTGCTAGGGCCTGGGCATCCATTGGATAGAGAGCACGGCTTGTGTTCTGTCTCTCACCCAAAACTGTCCTGAGGTGTAAACTAGAGACAAGCTTCCCAGTCACTGTCTTCTTCCTCCCCACCATGCATTCTCAGGGCACCACTGTAAGGGGAGTGAGAGTATGTTAGCTTGTCTCTCCTAGTCATAGGGAAGGAACTCATGGATGTCGATACTCTGATAAAGGCCTGTGCCCCAGAGCCTAACCCCAGAAATGGCAAGGGGGGAGGATGCAGTCAGAGTCATGTGCAGGCCAGTTCCAAGGCCTGCCTGGGTCCCAGGAGTCCCAGGGCAAGGGTAGTGGGAACAGACAATGACTGAAGCCTGTGCAGAACATGTTGCTTAGGAAAGAATGTTGGGAACTGGAAGGAGCAGGCAGAGCAGCAGGAAGGGCAGGAGGGAGCCTTACCAGGATATGATGGTCTCAACCATGTGGAGGAGACAGTTGAGGAGGGGGAAGAAGCAGATGAGGTTGAGGTTTCAGGTAAAGAGCTGGGGCTTGGAGACATGCTTGTCAGTGGGACTTCTGGTCTGCTGGCAGTGCTGGCTGTTCTTGGGACAAAGGTGCTACTGGCAGACATGGCAGGAGTGGTCTTCTCTGTGATGAGATGCTGCACAACGTGTGGCTTTGTTGGTCTTCTGTGGGTGACAACTAGAGAGAAAAGTCCAGGTTGATTGATGGTGGCAGGGTAAGAGGAGAAGGCAAAGGAAGTGGGCAATTCCCAGGCAGAAGCCCCAGGGTATGGATGGTAGTAAGAAAGGCAGGATCTGACCCCACCAAGTGTTACTGGGCAAGATGGAGACATGGGCCAATGGCTCCCCCATCAAAAAAATATGGGGCAAGAACTGAGGCTGAAGGGTGCCTTCACTATTCAGCACCCTCTGACACTTCCTGGAGCTCCTGAGGGAAGAAGAGCCTCTCTGGGTGTGCATGTCTCCCCTCCAAGGCATTCTAGACTGGGTAAGAGCATCCTCTGGGAAATCTGGGGTGAGTGAAGCAGCGTCAAGGCCAAGGTCACGGACAGCTCTCATCTCCCTCTTACCTTCTGGGGCTTGGTGGTGCAGAGTGGTTGCTTGGGTTCCCTCACTCTCTGTAAAGTAAGGAAGAATGGATATTAGTAATCGTTGGGAGACTCCTAGTTCAAGTGAGTTGTGCTACTTCCTGAGAGAAAGCTGTAATTATTGGCAGAAGACGACCCTGATGTGTGCACCCCAACAGTACTTTGTGGGAGATGCATGGATTAGGAGAGAGTATATACCTCACACTGCAGTAGACTTCTGCCCGCACACTGTCCCAGCCTCTGGTGTCAGTTGCTAACCCAGCGATTCACACTGTCATACAGCTTCAGAGGACACTCTCCTTGGAGTACTCCATGGAGTACCTGACATCCCAAAGTGTAATTTCATTTTTTTTATATTTATTTTGGGGAGAATTTGTTACAATGGCTAGGAGGAACATATATTCTGCCATCTGTGAGTTTTTAAGAACTCTCTTTGAAACACAGAGATTTTGCCTAAATTTGGAGGAAGCGTAGAGTACAGCCTACAGGGAAATGTTAGGTTTAAGATTGTATTTGCAGGTCAGATGCTTGCACCATTGGCAAGACACATAAATTCCCATTTTTATCATGCTTTTTCAGTTATCCCTGTCCTTTCTTACCTATTTGCAGTGTTAAGATAGCTAGTAAGTATGCTTGGCTTTTATATAAGATATATATATATTGACACATGTCATGTGAGTGATGGCTCCACTTGGCAGATATCAAAAAATGATATTTACCTACTGTTGTTAGTTTAGGCTTGCTGAAAGTTGTGATGTGAAGTGTGGTTTGAGTAGGTATTGAGGTAGCTGTCGTTTCCTTTTTGATAGTGGTCTTGAAGGGTGGCGTGGTGAACTCTACTTTTTCCGTCTCTGTTGAAGCAGCAGTTGGTGAGGCAGCAGGTGTAGGTTTAATGGTCATGGTTCTTTTTGTTGGGGTAGTTATGGAAGGGGTAATGATCATTGTAGTCACATTTGGTGTGGTTAAAATTGATGTTGTATGTTCTTTTGGAGTAAAGGTAAATAATATAATGTGAGTAATCCATTCATTGAATAAGTAAAAATAGATTAATTATGAAGAAGCTACCCATATTTCAGAGACCAGTTTTCACCCTTGATCTTTTGAATATTTTCTGTGCATTCACGTTCTCATAAACTTGCCAAATCTTACTCTGCTCATATTTGTGTTCTATTGTCTCATGTCTTTGTTCTCATTTTCTCTATTTTTCCTATATTAGATTATTTTATATATATATATATTTTTAAGAAGTTAGCTTTGTTGTCACTTATTGGCTAAAGTCTGTATGGGCTTTGCCCAAATGGCAATTTCATTGGCTGTTATGTTCCAAATCAGTCACAGTTTCAGCTTTCCATAATTTCAATTACCAAGCCAAATAACATCACAGTACAGGACTTTCCTTATCCCAGTGCACAAATCGTCTGTCACGATGGCAGCCTCTGAAGTTGTGTTTTGACTCCTGTGCGACCTGTTTTTATCTCTGTTTTCCCTGATAGCCTGGGTTCAGGATGGCTATTTAGTTGAGTGCATACTGGTAGGAAGCCACATGTTATTATGAGCGTCCACAAGACACAGAACTAGGAAATAATTTATGTTGGAGGAGTCACCTGTCTGAGAGCAGGACTAAAGAATCCCAGGCAGAGCTGCTACACTGATACCTGTGTGATTCTGCTTTGCACCCTGCTTACATTATTCAGAGTTAATAGGTCGGGTGCTCCTTCAATATTATTGAATAACTGAACCAATTGTGGAAAAGAGGCTGAAGCTGAGCTAATAAATCCAACTGGACCTGAGCTGACTCACTGCTTATAGAATTTCTAATGTGCTTCTCAGATGAGTCACACAAGTGATTTTTGGCTGTATTTTTAACATAGTGACTATATCCTTTCTCTTTCCACGCACTTTTTATATACACTTCTGAACACTTCTGGTTTACAACTCTCTTTTGGAAGCCTGCTTTGCCTGCTCCATGACTGGGAGTCTTATGCTTGGATATTGAGACAGCTTGCAATGCCTTCCTAATAGAGTGATATCTCAACTATATATCGAGTGGGTTTATTATAAGTTATTTTAAACAGTAACACTAAAAACCTACCAGTTATTGACTTCACTGTGACAAGAGGTGGTGCTGATGATGTTCTTGGAACTGTGATTTTTGAGGTTATTGTTGGATTTGTAGTCTCAGTTGATATAGTAGCTGCAGAGGATGAAATACTAGGTACTGTTGGTAGGGTACTTGTGGTTGAGGTTCTCGTTAGTTTAGGCTGCTCTGCTGTTACTAAAAAAAAAAAAAAATCAAAATTAAAGGATAAGAAATAGTTTTTGATAATCTATTTAAAATATACCTATATAAATTTTTTTTAAATTAAAACCACTGTCTTAATAACTATTAGTAGTAAGTACTATCAAAACCCATTACCTTTTTAGATGAAACATTTGAAAGAAGTTATCCATCTATTCCTTTCCTATTATGTGCAGTGAACACATTAACAAGGAATTCTTGCAGAAGCTTTATACATTTTTCTTCATCACTTTAAAGTGAATTAGGCATAAATACTTGTGCACAGCAGCAGAGAATTGTATTTTATTATTCACACAGCTGACAGTATAATATTTTTTGCAATATCATCTGTCTTCAGGGAAATGAATGGAATTTCTAACAATTTTAAGATCAGTCTATATAGATTCCTTTCCTGGATCAGGCTATAGGGGTTTGGTATACTCAGCCATACATTTCCATGAACACCTTAAACTGCCGAAGCGCTTTATGGCCAGTCATATTTTTGTGAGATTTTGTACATCACAGAATGGTTTGCATCAGAAGGGACATTTAAAGGTCATTTAGTCCAACCCCCATGCAATGAGCAGGATCATCTTCAATTATATCAGGTTGCTCAAAGCCTCATCTAGCATGACCTTGAATGTTTCCAGGGGTGAGACAACTACCACCTCTCTGGACAACCTGTTCCAGTGTTTCACCACCCTCATCATGCAAAATTTCTTCCTCATCTAGTCTGAATCTACCCTCTTTCAGTTTAAAACCATTACCCCTTGTCCTATTGCTAAAGGCCCTACTAAAAAATTTGTCCCCATCTTTCCTGTAAGTCCCCTTTTAGTATTGAAAGGCCACAATAAGGTCTCTCTGAAGCCTTCTCTTCTCCCGCTAAACAACCACAACTCCTTCAGCCTGCCCTAATAGAACAGGTGTTCCATCTCCCTGAGCATTTCTGTGGCACTCCTCTGGACCCACTCCAACAGGTCCATGTCTCCCCTCTACTGAGGACCACAGAGCTGGACATTAAAGTCCAGGTGGGGTCTTAGGAGAGGAGAGTAGAGGGGCAGAATCACCTCCCTAGATCTGCTGGTCACGCTTCTTTTGATGCAGCCCAAGATACGGTTGGCTTTCTGGGCTGCGAGCACACATTGCCAGATCTTGTCCAGTTTTTCATCCACCAGTATCCCCAGGGTCTTCTCCCCAGCTTGTATTGATACTGGGGGTTGCCCTGACCCACGTGCAAGACCTTGCACTTGGCCTTGTTGAACCTTATGAAGTTCACACAGGCCCACTTCTTGAGCTTGTCCAGGTCCCTCTGAATGGCACCCTGTCCCTCAAGCTGTGTGGTGCAGTTAGCACACCTGGAGTCACACCTGCAAATTTGCTGAGGGAGCCCTCGATCCCACTGTCCATCAGAGACAAAACAGAAGTCCTTATTCAATAACAGAGATATGATATCTGGAAGTGCTGAAGTATACTCAGGAAACACTGTTCTCTCAATAATTCTTTTTCTTAAGATGTCTAACAAATATTGCTGTGAAAACATTTGTGATAATTATGACACCAGGTTATTTTTCATCATTGCATCTTATGCCTGTGAAACTGGTGATCCCACTATATCACACAAAAATGGATATTGCTCGTCTTATAAACACATATCAGACATATATCAGTGCGTAAGTACTAGTTTGGTCAACTACGTAAACTAACCTGTTGCAGGGGAAGAAGTCTCAGGTGTGGTACTAGTGCTTTCATCTCCTGTTGTGTACAAAGGCAGAAGAGGTTAAGTTTGTGAATTAAAGCATATTCAAATATTCCAAATAAGGCAAATTTCATACTGGATGTAATTTTAAAGGAAGGTTATGTTTGGGTGGACACTCATTATTAAGTACTAGGAAAAATATCTTTGAGAATATACATTTGTTTTAGTATTTTTTTCTAGTTACTGTAGAGAAAAAGTATATATATTGCTGCTTACCACATGGTATGCATCTTTCATTCTCATAATCAAAGTATTCATCACGTGAGCAGTTGTAACAGCCTGAAGAAAGGGGAAGAGAATTTTGGCTTATATTTCATAACACAGGTTTAATTTGTACTATTAATAATCTCATGTCTTACATTTCTGTTATTAAAAAATTGTATAAATTGCAACATCAGGCAAGCATTTTCAATGTCATCTACAGAAGAAGGGTCTGCCTACGTAGTAATTTCTTCGTTTCTCCAACTATATCCATTTCTCTAATAAAAATATTAACTGCTCTCTCCACATGTTTTCTTACCCAAGTACAGTGTATTCTTTTGATTTGGTTCAAGTCAGAGAATTTGTCTTCAAGATAGGCTGAGCTCAATATAAAGTTAGATGTAGTACGGGTACTGAACTGCTTATGTATTTAAAGCAGTAGCCGTAAGGTAAAGATAAGCAAAACTTAACTTATTTGATGCTTCAAAGATAGCATCAATTAGAATACCATTATTTAACTGTGGTATGACTGATTTAAAAAACAGCATTGAAAATAATTACTATGTCACTGTTTCCTAGTTTACACCAGCATAGCTTATTACCTTCAATGTTGACATATTTGTAGTTTTGATTTGGACAATTACAAGGCCTGTAATGCCAGGTGCAGTTGTCGTTGTTGTAGCCATAGGAATAAGCATCACCACTTCCTGTTTTTTTATGAGAATTGTAATACTCACAATAGACGGCTAAAAAAGGAAAAAGCAAGAGAGAAATCAGAACTTTTCAATTAATGGCATGTTCTTTTCAAAGGACTGAAGGGCAGACAAAATTAATAAACAATTTGAATCAAGAATTTTGCTTCAAGTTATTAGCTTCTAATATAAATTGAAATTTATGCTCCAGTAAAGTTGATTTCTATTTTGCAAATGCACTATACAGGAATTTCCTCAATTTTTTAATCCATAATACAGTGAAATCTTGGAAAAAAGCCATCAAAGATAATAACTTCAGCATTGATTTATAACACATCCTATATTTTCCTCCAAATACAGTGTTCTGGAACACCTTGATATCTTTTTCCTGTTTTACAGTGTTCCAGCCAACACAGCTGTCTTTATTTCCTTGACACACACACAGAAGGTGATTTCTTTATAGCTAGAATGAAACACTTTTGTATAATTTCATACTCTGTCTGCTGACAAACTGACTGTTCCCTATACAGAGACAGCAGAAGAAACAATCTGTCTTCTGTGACCACGTTATTTTCTCTCTTATTACTCCATGGTAAGAAGAGATATAATATTTTGATTAATTTAGCACAAATGAAAACTACAGATTTCAAAACCCAGGTGACTGAAGTCAACTATTTGCCCATAGAGAAAATACAACTTATGAGGTGCTTCTTAAGCAACTACCTATGTTGCCATATTAATTTACTCACAATAACAATAATCATCTGATAGATGTCTCTAAAGAGAGCTTAAAGAAACTTACGACAGAACTCAGGGGTCCTCCAGTCAATGCAGATACCTTTATCTAAGCATGCCATGGCATACACTGCAATGGCATCGCACATGCATTCACAGTCCCCTCCAATGTCACAACCACAGGAGTCTCGAACGCATGCCTCATAATAGGGCATACGATTCACCTGCATTGGAAAATGAAGTAATTAATTTTCTAGGATTCTTGTGTGCCTGTTTGTTAAAAAGGTGTTTTCCCTGGGCTAAACACTATGAGTTCCATTACAGAAGAAGAGCTAGTATTTCTTCTGAACACCTGTCAAAGCAATTACAATCCCACTTCATACAAACCTTTGTAGAAAGAATAGAGTTGTCTCCATGTCAACAACGTTTTGGCAGATACGTATTCCTAAATTCATACTAGTCCGAACATATTATATATAGTCAACTAAAAAATTCCCCCAAACCCCCACATCCATTCAATGTGTGGTTTTCTAACAAAGCCTAAATGGTTTGGAAAGAGTAAACAGTGCATTGATCAGTGTCAGGCATCATCAACACACTGCATATTTTCTGATACTAAAGTCTTCATTCTTTATTCACTCTGATATTTTTAGCTACTCAGTTAATTGCCATACTTAGCTTTTGTTCTTACAAAAGGGCTGGTGAAGGGCAAATAAGACAGGATGAAGATTAACATAAATGAGAGCAATAAAACATTTATATATATATATTATTCAAATATAGTAATAAAACATTTAATGTTTATTTTATTAAAAAATTTTGGGGAAGAGAAATCAAGAGTTGGCATGTGAGCATTTTGGAAAAATATGGATTACACCTCTAAATAAAAAGAAGGCCAAATAAATTCTTACCTTATTGTGACAGGCAGAAAAGACTTGGCTGTTGATGATGGAACAGGTCTTTTCTGCCCATGCTTTACGATAAGGATTCTTGCTACAGGGGTCTACTACAAAGTATACATCCCCACAGAGAGGATTCTCTTTCCAAGAATTAACAAATTCCAATTCATTTGATGCCACATACTTGCTTCGAGTTTCAAAATCATCCTTCATATTGCCATTATAGTTCCCACACAAACCACATATAGTTTCCTAGATTAAATGAAAGCAGCAATGTCAGTTCAACAGGTTACATTTACTCACCTTCCCTTTTGATTACCGACAGTTTCCTGTGCTTTAGCAGTGAATGGGATCTCCAAATACTCTCATAGTGTCTTAGTGTGTTGTGCATGAGATTCTGTTCATCAGTGGTTGAATATGTTTCTCTTCTAAACTGTAAACTGTCATCATTTAGAAATCAAATTCAACCATACAGTTGTATAAAATACAAGCACTTAGCTCAAATTTCCTGAATGCACTAGGGTAGTCATTTAAAAATCAGCAACTAGTGAAAATCTCTGCTGTTTTGGACAGAATGGTGAAAATGAATTGCTAGTAGCATCTCTGAAAAAACTTTGCCATCATAGGGAGTCAAGGCAACCATCATCAAATGTGCAATTCAGTCTGAATTGAAGGACAGCTTACGGAGGAAGTTATTCTGCAATACCTGTGTTTCTCTGGAGATCTTGATGAAGAAGTTCATGTGCTTATTCCAGATAAGGGTCATGTTGTATTTTCCTGGGATAATGATATCAAACATCAGGTGAAGGGCATTATTTTTCACATTATATCGTACTTCAGGATTTTCCCCAGAAATAGTGAAGGTTTCATCTCTCAGTATGATTGTCAAATTCTGGAAGAAAATTTATCTGGATGTTATAACTTACCAAGTTTTGGTATTTTCCTTGCACTGTGTCACATTCTGAAGATCAGATTCTGTGCTACTACAGACTGTCTTGAATTCCCACTTATTTTTGAAAAGTCATGGCAGTCAGGTGAAATCCCTGGTGACTGGAATAAGGGAAACATTGCACCCATTTTTAAATTTTTAAATCACTAATTCAGAGAGAGAGGCATTTGATGGATGGAGTGTTTGGTGGATAAGGAATTGGCTGGATGGTTGCATCCTAAGAGTAGTGAGCAATGGCTCAACATCTGGATGGAGATCTGTAACAAGTGGTGTCCTGCAGGGGTCTGTACTGGGGTTTGTATTTAATATCTTTACCAAAGACGGGAATCAAGTGCACCCTCAGAAAATTTGCAGATGACACCAAGCTGAGTGGTGTGATTGACACACCTGAGGGAAGGGATGCCATCCAGAGGGACCTGGACAAGCTCAAGAAGTGAAGTTATGAAACTAGATCCTAAGTCAACAAATTTTATCACCACAGCACTGACCAGCTCAAACTGCCAGTATTTAGTCAGTAATGTGGCAGTTGTATACTGCTTGTAGTGACTGTTCCTGGGATAAAATCTCATCTGTCCATTTTCTTCTCTCTGTCAGATAATGAAGGACTCTAAGATAACTGATGCTACTGAGCATTACTGTCCCATAGAACTGAGAACAGTAAAACTTACTGAATTCTGGAGGCTGTCATGCAGCAGTGGAAGGATAACTGCTCATTGCTGTAGTTTCACATCCATATTTTAGGCAAATCTGAATGTATTTTACACTGCAGATATTACCTAGTCTTAGAGAAATTTGGAGAGATTCTATTCATTGTCCGTGATGAGAATTCCTCAATTTTATGCTATTTCCAGAGCTTGGCAGGGGAGGAAATCACTATCTTTTGATGAAGCATTTCACTGTAAAGTTCAAAATTTTACAGCTTCTATGTAGGCAAGAAGTTTGGGGACTGAAACATTGACACAAGAACTGAAAAAAAGCCCCAAATTGATGGCAATTCCTACTAAAATGGAAGCTCTAGATTTAGCTTGTAATTTCACTTACAAGACATCACTTCAAAGATACAGTTAAAGCTTCCAAAATGGAAGGAAACATGACGTGAAAATAAGTATTCAGCTGGATAACAGCAGAATGAAGATCTTACCCCAAGGTAAATGCTGATGGATCTGGAGCATGTAACCCCTGATTTCCCACAGATGACATTCTCAGTAACAATTTTGAAAGAGGAAACAGGTCTGTTAACACTGCAGCCATCCTAAAAAAAAAACCAAAACCAAAAAAACCACAAAAAGCACAAAACCACAATAGACTCCATGTCTGCAGTCTTCCAACTTAAAACATAAAAGCATGAAAAAGTAAAGAAAGCTTAAATATGTCATGACTGATTCTGCCTGTTTTGGGAGGTGATGATATCTGATTTGGTAGTCAAACTGATATCACTTCCCTAGAAGATATAGTAGGCTGGTACAGAATACCTACATATCAATGACTATTTAAATGTTATTAAATCTAAAATTGCTTGTAATTACATGACAAATCTGTGTTTTCAGAAGTAAAGTCCTTTCATCTTAAGTACTGAAACAAGCAAAACATATAAAACCACATTAAATATTTATAAAGATTCAAAGTGCTGTATTGATTACAGATGCATCCTAGGGTATTTTCATTAACCATTTAAATCAAGTTATTTCTTGATGCTAAGATATTGCCCAAGTAAGCAGTAATAGGCAGATTACCATAGCTAATATATATTCACAGTTGCCATCAAACACAAAACGCTGTCCATCAAAAGTGGTGATGTGGCCTTCTCCATACAGATTACACGTTGAGGAACATTTTGATTTCTGAACACATTTCCATTTGCCTTTTGTGCAGGTGCTGGGAGTGAGAAAAGAAACCATACCCAGCTTTCAATGAAATGCCACCTTAACCTGCTTTTTATATACATGCACTTTTATAGATAAGATGCTCATTCACCTGACTTGTGTACACTGTGATCAGGTTAAAATTACTATAAAAACCATAACTAAAAGTACTGTACTTTGGGTGGAAATGGTGGTTTTTTATTACTAGATTAGTAGCTGGAAAGGGAATGAAGTACTTTGAGAATGCTGCTAAAGAGAGACAAACAATCATTTTTTTTGGGGGGGAGGGGGGGCGGGGAGGTTGCTTTTATCTACAGCAAAGAAGGAAGCTTGTGCCCTCATCTTTATTGAGGTGGAGCTGTTAATCCTTGACCTTATGTAGTTTACAGTTACAGGCCCTATTGGATGCCTTTATTCCTTGATATGTATATGGCAGAAATTATCCCTGAAACCAATACCTCGACTCTTTTATCTATACATATATACTGCCAAATGTGAAGCTTCTCTTTATCACCTATGTGCTTTGTCACTTTATTCCTTCTATTCAGCTGTTGCTGTTCCTACTCTCCTGTCAATTAACTGCTTTTGTTATGTAGTTGTACGGTGGAGCGAAACAGGTTCTGCAATGGAAAACTGTGACTCTTACCAGATTTCGCATTCAGTTTGGAGCTGTTCACCTTTTCCATAAGCTAGACCACCATATTCACATGGACACTCCTCAGCTGGAACACACCCGCCATCAAGATTTTCATATAGCCCACCAGCACAGACACAGCCTGATTCACATTTAGTGGGTATCTGGTAGAGATCAACAGATTGCAAAATGAAAAGACACATGAGATGCATTTTATCTTGTATGTGAATAGTGTCAAGAGTGAACCTGTGTAAGTTCTAATTTTGACTTGACTTCAATTTTGTGATTTTTCTCATACTAATATACTAGTCAATTGAACTTGTTTCACTTAAGTTGTAAGGTATTTGGCTACTTACACCAAGAGTCTTGCTTTGAGAAACCTGGTCTACTGGCAGATGATGGGGTACATATGACTGAAAAGGGAAAGAACGCCTTCCAGCAAAGGCTTGCCAAGCTGATAAAGAGGGCTTTAAACTAAAGTGGCTGGGGGGGGGGAACCTTAGCCCATCCCATTCCTGCCAGTTGGAGGCCACTGCCACTAACAGATGCCTAGAGCCTGGAGAAGGACCACAGGTCAGCAGGAGAGCACCTGGGGAACAAGACAAGGGAATTCCAGCTGCTCCAGTCAGCAAGCCAGCTTCATCGTGGGCACTTCCTAAATGCCTCTGTGTGAACACATGGAGCATGGGAACTGAACAAGAGGAGTTAGAGACGTGTGCACATCTGCGGGGCTGTGGTCTCATTGGCATCATGGAGACATGGTGGGATAGCAGGGACAGGTAGCCTGGGAGGAATACAGAGAAATTGTCCAAGAAGCAGAGATCAGGTTAGGAAAGCAAAAGCCCTGATAGGATTAAACCTGGCCAGGGACATCAAAGGCAACCATAAAAGCTTTTATAGGTACATAGGCAACGAAAGGAAGACCAGGAAAAATGTGGGCGCTGTCCAGAGGGAAACAGGAGAGCTGGTTTCCCAGGATACAGAGAAGGCTGAGGTGCTCCATGATTTTTTTTACCTCAGCCTTCACTGGCAAGGGCATAAGCCATATATCCCAACTTGCAGAAGACAAGGGCAGGGACTGGGAGAATGGCGAATGGTTAGGGAGGATCAGGTTCTGGAGCACCTGAGGATCTTGAAGATGCATGCACAGGTCCATGAGACCTGATGAAATTCATCCGTGAGTCCCCAGGGTACTGGTGGATGAGGTTGCAAAAATTCTATCCAACATATTTGAGAAGTTGTGGCAGTCTGGTGAAGTTCCCACTGATTGGAAAAAGGGAAACATAACCCCCACCTTTAAAAAGGGAATAAAGGGAGATCTGGGGAACTACAGGCCAGTCAGTTTCATCTATAACCCCCACCTTTAAAAAGGGAATAAAGGGAGATCTGGGGAACTACAGGCCAGTCAGTTTCATCTTGCCTAGCAAGATCATGGAGCAGATCCTCCTGGAAACCATGCTAAGGCACATGGAGAATGAGGAGCTGATTGGTGACAGCCAACATGGCTTCACCAAGGGCAGATCGTGCCTGACGAATTTGAAGATAAATATCCCAGAGCTGTGGAACTCACACATTCAATTCCAGTAGCCAGCATCTGACAGGTGGGGGCACATGCAGCTCCATACTTATTTTCTAAATTGTCAGAGCATGACACATATTTCTTAGGAGCTTTGCAGCTTTCTAGGAAAAAGGAATAAAAACAAATATTGGAGAGATTGTGAAGTAGCAATTTTACAACATAGCAGAAAAGAATGTGTTTCTAGGTAAATTATATCAGACCCATACCTGCAGGATTTTGAGGTTTGCCTGTGCAACTTAGCCTCCCATTAACGCAGTAGCTGGGGAAAAAAAGAAGAGGGGTGGGAGGGGGAAGGAATTTCAGTGCAATTCTCTCCTAAGAAAGGAATCTTACTATTTTGCAAAATGGCTTCATGTTTCTCACCTTTGGAAATGTTTCATTTATGTTACTACCTTCTCCTCATCCTTCAAAATGGAACATGAATCAACCTGCTTCTCTTTACTTTTTTTAGTACATATTAACATCAGTTTTGAAAGTGAATAGTAGGCCATTCACTGTTATGGTGGCCGGTCAAGTAATTTTTGAGGTTTGTATATAGCTGTCTGGATGTTGCTGATAAAATCTCCTGCTATAAATAATCAGATCTTACCTATTATTTTCTAATTTTTACCTTAACATTTCCAAGCTTATTATAAGTCAAATGATTTTGTTCGTTTAAGAAACTTCATATTTTAGGAAAGGGCAAAAAAGATATCTTAGAAAAGAAACCTTTGCTATTAAAAGTAAAGGAAACTGTACTGGGTTTGGCTGGAATTGAGTTAATTTTCTTTGTAGAAGCTTGGTGGTGCTATGTTTTGGATTTATGAGCAAAACAGTGTTGATAATATGACACTGGTTTAGCTATTGCTGGGCAGTGTCAAGGCTGTCTCTGCTTCTCATGCTGCCCTGCCAGTAAGCTGGGAGTGCACAAGAAGCTGGTAGGTGAAACAGCCAGGACAGCTGACCTGAACTGACCAAAGAGATATCCCATACCATACAACATGGTCAGCAATAAAAGCTCAGGTAAAGAAGGAGGAAGGAGGAATGTTCAGAGTTATGGCACTTGTCTTCCGCTAGTCATAAGTGACCATTATGCATGACAAAGTCACGCTCTCCTGGAAATGTCTAAACATCTGCCTGCTGACAGGAAGTAGTGAATTAATTCCTTACTTAGCTTTGATTGCGCATGCCTCTCTGCTTATTAAATAAGCTTATATTTTCTTATTAAACTGTCTTTATCTCAACCCACCATTTTTTTTGCTTTTGCCCTCCTGATTCACTTCCCATCTGGCTGAAGTGGAGTAAGTGGCTGAGTGGTGCTTAGCTGGTTACTGCTGTTAACCCTCAACAGAGACACATTTTCAGTTTCATAATTCTTATTTGACACACTTACCAGGTAATCCCACCAGCCATTATCGACTGGTCAGGCAAGATGTACTTTCGATCTTCAAAATAGCAGGGACAATGAGATTTACGAACACACTCATTCTTGTGGTTCAAGTACATTCCTTCAGAACAATGGCAGCCGTCAATAGGGATGTCAGTTGGATGACATTCCAGGGCTCGGTTGGAGAGTGACAAGCACGTCCTGTCACATGCCTGAGTGTTGTAGCTGAATGTTTGATTGCCAGTACAAGTAATGGCTGTAAAACAAGACAAGAGTGTATGTTAAACTTAATTTACTTTTCCTCTTCCTTGTGAAAGATAACTGTGCTCAATGTGCAGCATATATCGTGTCAACAGCTTCAACACTTAATGCTTACTATTGTATTGTGGATATGGAGCTCTAGCAAAAAATACTGCATGCCAGGGATTAACACCAACAATGTAGCTGTTTGGAATTTTTATGGAGGTTAAATATCTTCTTGCTTCTTCGTGTATCTTGGAATAAAATAATGCAAAGAGAAGCTTTGCAGAAATACCAATGTATTTTTGAGTAACTGTGAAGCCTGTGCCTCTGTTGAAGCTGCATAATAGCAAAATCACATTCACAACCAGTGGTTTTCCTAGTTCTTTCTCACCTTACAGTACAATATAGTTTTATTTATCTGTCTATTCCATCATTTAATTCTCAAGTCCTGGAAGCATTCACATGCTCATCTTAAAGCATATGTGTAATCTTTTTCATGTAGTCTTAAAATAACAATCCTTTTCTGAAACACAATAGAAGGGTATTCCAAAGTTGGATATCTGTTATCCCTTATCTGCTTTCCTTGTCTTTCTGTTCACTACTTTGCTCATTGCTCTTAAGGTGATTTGGACTCTGTTTAAAATACTGCTTTACCCTTTATGGGTTTTGTTGTGTTATGACACACCTGTAAAATCAGCAGCTCCTGGGAAGATGGCTTTTACACCTGCTGGTTGGCCTACTTGAGCAATAAGTAGTTACCTTCTAATGGCTAATGTAGTTTTAAAATACGTTCTGCCTCTTACTCAGTTTTGTCCTAAGTGATTCAAAGATGGGAATATTCTAAATAGAAACAGATAGAGCTGTATGCATACATTCCTCTGATGGCAGACTATTAAAAGTTGGTTCAGTTACTTACTACAATTGTCCATAATGTTTCTCCAGTTCTCAAGGATTAAACCCATTGAACTGCATGTCCGTGCATACGATCCCAAAGCAGAACAAATATAAGGAAAAGTCTCTTCATAATTACAGGCTTGATAGACACATCTCTGAAACCCAATACATGGAGAGTATTGTTACTGTTACTGGGGAGCAGACATTCAGAGGTGCTAAACCCTGGAGGTATTTAAAAGATGTGTAGATGTGGTGCTTAGGGACATGGTGGACATTTAGTGGTGGACTTGGCAGTGTTAGATTTACAGTTGGACTCTATGACTGTAAAGGTCTTTTCCAGCCTAAATGATTCTATGCTGAATTGCAGAGGTAAGTCATGCAAAATACATGTTATTGCATAAGTAAAACTGATTTAAAAGATCACATTAATTGCTTGATTGACATGAATATAATATGCTTACTACCTAAAAAATGCCTTTGTTTATTGTCTGCTTTTAATTTTTAATTTTCAAAATGCTTTGTGGAGATTGGCAAATATGCTTGGTTATGCATATGCAAAAATCAACACTTTGCGTATTTAAAGGTGTTGACATGAAGAACTGCAGCATGAGCAAAACCTCCTTCTGATTCATAAGGATGAGACTAGTGCCTATGACCAGACTTTTAGCGTGGTGGAGACATAATTTTCAAACCCACACTTGATCCTTAGCTTCAATGCATTGCTGATTCACATGAGTGGGATACTCTATATGTACATTCTGATCCATATTTGGACTCTCTCTGTACACCATCTATCACAATTTCCTACCTTGTAGAAAGGAATAGGGTTCACCACAGCATGGCATTTCTCAAACACTGTACCCTTCTTCGTAAGAATGGAGCAATGAGTCTCAGCAGATATTTCTAATGGAAGTAAATAATGGACATTAAACAAAAAGTTAGGAAAAAGAAGTGAAAAAAAACCTGGACACACTACTCTAGCTGAGCTTTTGGCAATGATGGATTTAACAAAAGGACAACTTAGCTTGTTAGCTTGCAGACTATACCTTTGTTCAAACAGCTCCGTAGGGCTATTCCTTTTTTTCCCCCCCCTTTTTTCAAAGACCAGTAGCAACAGAGACTTGAAAAGGAAAAGCCCGGACTTCAGTCACAGCACTGCTGAACAAATCTAAAACATCCCTGAACATTGCAATTTCACTGGAAATAAGACCAAAACCCTCTGATTCATTATCTCAATCCCAGATCTCTAGAAAGGGATGTGAAAAGCTTCCACTAGATACGTATTCTAGAAATCAGAAATGTCTTGTTGGTGACAGAATTTGTGATGTTCAATTATCTCAGTTTCTGTTTCTCAAACTCTCTCATTTCCCTGATAGGGACTTATTAAAGTATCAGGCACAGCTAGCTGGATAGACCAGTTACAACAGGATCATCTACTTACTGTTCAGTTGACTCAAAGCACAAGGGTCAGTATCTCTCTCTAAAGCAGGATGGCAATTTCCTGCCCTCCAGGAATCTACGAACAGGGAGGCTGTCCCTTCAGTGATATCCATGCTAGTCATGAAGTCATCTGTAGTGTCTCCATTGTAATTGCCACACAAACCTAGTAACAGCAGAAATACAAGAGGTAGCTGAAAACGAATCTGTACACAATGTTCTATGTTTCATTGTATAATAGCAAAAAACCTGAGTCAAATGTTCTATGTGGATTGTCAGTGAATACTATAGGTCAAGTAGCCAGAGAATCTTGGTAATGTACACATTCAGTTACTGAGCCTCTGCCTTCTCAAGACTGTCCACTTCTATTCAGTGACAAATTCATATAGATTTTTTTGTCGTTTCCAGAAAAAAGGCTTTTTCAGTGGCTTTAATTCATGTAAAAGAGAAAGGCCATGAAAAACTTCTGCAGTTACACGTGTTTTCTTATGTATATAGAATCTGTAATGACAAACAATATACATTTAGACTTTTTTAAAAGGTACAGCCCCTCTGTACTTCCCCCAAGATAATTAGAATGCAGGTTATGCCTTCGTGACTGATGTTACTGTGCAATAAACATCAACATCTCCATCTGGTTCTTAACAGCTGAGAAGCTTTTAGATGTTTAGGCTCATTGTGTTTACAGTCATCATGCAGTGCATTCAAAATACTCCCAAGAGGCAGAGACCTTACAGACTAATCTGTTGCCCTGTCATTGTGTAGTAAAGCACATACTCAAAAAGACACACATAAAACATGTGTAGAGCAGCATTACATTACACATGAAAAATGTCATCCATCTAATTTCTTTGATTAATTTTGAAGTTGTTAGTGGAAAAAAATTCTTGGCACATCAGTTTTCCAGTGCAGATATTTTTGTTCTTTTTTATTTGAATCCAGAGAAGAAAGTTTGTTCCTTAAAGGATGAGTACTAAGTTTTCAAAATAACACTCCCTACATTTTCTCCTTGTCATGGGGAGTAGATTTCTTACCTAGGGTTCTGCCTTTGAATTGTGATCCAACTTTCACATAGGCCTGGAACACAGGTGATGTTTGAACTACAACTTCCAGCCCAAAGGTTGTATACATTTGAATGTATATTGAGGATTGTCTGAAAATAGTGATGTCTCCTAAAAGAAGAAGGATATTTAGAAATAAGAGACTTTGATATTGCAAGTAATGATTTTAATGCCTATGTAAGTATTCTAGCATTTTGTCTACCAGACTTCTTCCACACACAACTATCCACAGAGCAAAAGATTTTAACCTTCCTTGAAAACCTCTGCTATTGGAAATTGTGCGAGAAAAGATGCTGGGTTGTATAAAACAGACATTTAATGCAATTTGGATTTTATGTACATTCATTCTTCTTTACCTGATTTGTAAGGTAGCCGCTTAAGTTCATCATCATCAGTAAGGAGTTCATTCTGAGAAATCACAATTTTGTCCTGTAAGAAAAGGACATGGAATGAGAAGTAACTACCTGTACTGATGGTATTCATATGTTCTTTAACTCAAGCAACTGTATCATCAGTGACGTATATAACAGGAAAAGATTGATTGCAGCTTTTACTCACATGTTATTCCACACTGCTTTCAGTTTTCCCTTTGAAAATAACTTCCCGAGTTGATGTGGCAACAGAGATCTTTACTGTGTATGCATGAATTGGAACATATCTTTACTATCTCTCCCCATAATTTTTCTGGCTACTTAAAGCAATAACTTTAGGAGTTTTGCTAATCTGGTTACTGAAATGCTGGATAGAACCTGTGCAGGAAATACTTACCTTTGCAGACAGGTAAATTATACCACTGAGTGAAGTCTCAGAATGAGAATAACCAGACTTTTCATATACAGCCATTAGGGTTCCATTGTGTGGCAGGCTGGAACTCTGGAGGAATGCAGCAAAAAGGGAAGTCTGTGTCAGGATAACAGTGATTTGTAGAATAAGTGTATATCATAGGAAGACAGCAGTTTGCGTTCCAATAGCAAACCAAAGACAGACTAAAATATATCCATTTGATATTGTGTGTTTCTGGACTGCAGGAAATTACCTTCATAAGAATATAAGTGCAAACCCCATGGAACCTGTATGATCTAGAATCAAATGTAGTAACAAAGGAGCCTCCTTCTAGCGAACATCTTCCAGGGCAGGGCAAGTCTTTGCAGTTCCATTGACCCATCGTACATTTACTAAGGAAAACAAGAAATTCTGTATAAGGTTATTCTCATACTAAGGCATTATTTACCAGCAGAGGATCTGATCCTCCTGTCTGGGCTTTTTGCTGTAGCTGATCAACATGCAAAATTGGTTAGTGAACAGTGTAACATACATATGCATCCTGAACTTTCGTTTCCACTGTTTTGAAATTTCTTTTCATTACACTCTAAAAAGTCAACTCCTTCCTAATAATGGAAGTTGTGATTTGTATCACCTTTCCCCTTGAACCTCCTATGCTGTGATTTTCTTTGTCTATGTATACCTGTTGAAGTTGTTCGTCTTACTTCAAAGTTGCTGAACTCTTGTACAGATAGTCAGTAAACTTTCCTGAATTGATTAATCATGAAAAGTGCGTTCATTGTTATAGTTCTGAGGATCAAATTCCATTACTTATCCTTTATTTAATTTATTAGAATTATGCTAGCAAGAGAAGTAACACTCAAAAAAATTCCACTTAAAAAAAAAAACCACCTTCCAAATTAAAAAAATATTGTCTTGAGTAATTATCTTCTATTTCAAAACAGAAATTTAATTTTCAGTGCTGATTTGGTGATCAGAAATGCTGAGATTGCCAGCAAGAAATAGTAAGTACTGGATATTTGTTTTGTACTAATTTTATCTCTGCTTTCACAAGGGACATAAAAATGCTACTGTTTCGTGTGGCCTGAAGGAGCCACATATTAATATCTATATGTATATTTGTACAGATTAACCAGGAAATGAGACATGTATATCTTCAACTAGAAACGTATGATTTGTGGCACTTGATGAAGGTGGACTCAGAGATGATATGACACATTTGCAGATGTCATCCAAGAAGTTAAAGCTAAATTTTCCAATTGCTTGGTGATACTCTCCATCTTTTCATGAAAGTGCCTGTTGCTACTCACCAGGTCCTACATGCTGCTTTCATTGTCTCACCAGGAGCATATATCTTCCCATTCAGTGTACACGGACACTGCTGAATGTGGACACACGTTCGATTCTTTGAGATGTCATCAAGAACAGTTCCTGCCAAAGAAGGTTAAATACTTGTCTGTGCCCTTACTTAGCACCAAAGGTATTATAGTTTGAATGCTTTCCAAAATTATCTTGAGAATTCTATGTTTGCACAGCCAGTGCCCATACTTAGAGATATAATGTGCTGGACATTTTCTCTTAATTAAAATAAAACTGACTCTTCACAAGTGATAACAGCGATTGGCTACTTTTCATTTGAAAGTGCAGACAATTATCTTCATTTGAAATTTGAACTTAATTTGAAATAACAGTAAGCTTGAATGTTCTGGTTGGTTGGGGGTTTTTGGGGTTTTTTTTGCTATGACCCTCTCATTAAGTCGGGGATTTTGAAGGGTGGACACATCCTGTTTCCTAGAGTACATGGTCTAGGTTTAAATATGTAACTCACAGCACTTTCGACTGCTATAAAATGGTGATCATATTGATGTGAGTACATACATCACAGTAACCTTGGAGGATATTTCAGTTCTGAAATTTCAAAACAATATGCAAATAATAGTCATAATCAGAATTTTGGTGGGAAGTTTATCTTGAACTATTTTAAAGGGATTTTACAAAATTCCCACAATACTGCAGAACTTCTCTGAAGTATGCTACCTCTTGCTGGTGTCCTGAAAGTCTAGATAACTGTTTGGGGTAGGAAATTAATTAAACTTCCTCACTGAGTGTTATAGTATAGAACTTCAAGCAGGTAGCATATAATTATCCCATCATGTATCACACACTGGAGAGGAAAATGCCTTCAGAACTCTGTTCTTGTGAATAGTGACCAAGGACCTTTAAGGACCATGATTATTCAAGACTCCAGTCATATTATGTTACCCGAGAAATGGCAGTCCTAGCAGCAGAATGCCCTGAAATGCACTGCTAGTTCATTATTAAGAAATCCATTCCACTTGACTGGATATATGCTGAAAACATTTGTATGACCTATTTAGGATATGATGAATACAGAAATGATACCTTCTGGACAAAAGCAACCATAGGTACAGTGACTGGAACAGCTGTACTCTGGGTTGGAACAGGTTTTAATACACGGAGACCCACATTCCTCATAGATTTGATTAGCAGAACATCTTCCCACAGCTGCAACAAATAGTGAAAGTGCTAAGATTTCTGAATTGTAAACAGAAGAATCTCTTATCTACCACCTAAGATGGAGAAGAGCTTGTGACTTTCTGCACTAACATTCTCTTACCCTGCCTCCATACTAATCTGAGTACTATCACAGAATGTACCTTACTAATATTTATATGAATCTTTAAAATGCCATGAGGAGTTCACAGTTTTGAAGGATTAAAGCCAATTGCAGACTAACCAAAGAATAAAATGGGTTACCAATTTATGTAAGAGAGATAATCTTGGAGAAGAGGAAAAATTATTTTAGAAAGAAGTGCAATTTGAAAGCTTCGGGGACAATAATGGAGCTTAGGAGGGAACGTTTTCAGTACATATGAGGGAAGATTGAAAGAAAACTCCATGTTAAACACAAAACAAAAAATCAAGAGTGAAACCAGTATGTGAAGATCAAAAGGAGAATAGAAGAACATGACATTGGAGATGCAGGATGAACAAATGATGCAGGACCGCATAAGTAACAATGGTGAGACAATAGACTATGGCAAGTTAAACTATTTCAGGAATATAACTGAACTGGAATTTCACTAATCTTACGCTAAAATCTAAATTGTAGCCAATCTTTTTGAAAAGCTTTTTGAAACACAATAAGAATGAGGAGATAAGGAGAAATGTATCAATGTCAAAGCAGTTTATTTTACAAATTTGCTTCATATATTCATATGAAAGATAAATAAAAATATGATTAAATTATATGCTTCTGAAGGGCAATATCATATTAAGCAAGGTCATTTTGAAAGTTTCTCTATTTTCAACATGAGCTGCATTTCTGGTAATTTAATGTGTGAGCTGGTTTAGAAATCAGACCATAAATTTAAGTTACTTTTGACTTTTTTTTTTTATGATCAGTGTGTTCTCTTATGAAACAAGGAATCCTGCTACATACCACTGACTTTAGTCTGAAGTTTCAGATGGATTAAAAAAGACTGCAAAAAGTGAATCAGAACTTTGATAACAAATAAGCACTTGAAAAAAGGTGTGGATAATCAGGTACAGCTTTGAGAGGAATGGAAGATTTGCCTCCTATTTGCTTTCAATCAGTAGTTGTAATTAAGGAGGTTTCAGGCTTCTGAAAATGGACTACTGAAAATTTCTTGTGAATAAAAGGGGTTATGTCAATTCTTAGCAGAATGGTTCAAAGACTTCAGAGGCCATTGAAAAGTTCTCTCTCTTCACTGGCTAATTTGCTAAGTGCAATAATGAAAAAAAAAACCCAACCAAAAACAAAACCAAAAAAACCCAAAGCCTGTACTAAGAGAGAGCAGCCTTCTTTTGGTAGTCTGAGAAATTAAAGTGATTTCACTTGCCGGATGTTTCTTTCTTTTATGGTCACTGATCTAGATGTAGAAGCAGTATTCATGCTTCCTCCTTCACCTTCAAGGTTTCCATGCTCCCCTTAATGCTTTACCAAAGATCACTGTTGTTCTTGTAAGAAAACAGTATGTTTGATATTGTAGACAGTAGAGACTTTTCTATCTGTTGATTTAAACTCCAGTTAATCATCATTCTCCCGCTATGTAAGATACAGCAGTGTTAAGTACAATCTCCTACAAATAAAACAATTCAACTTACAGCAGAAGTTTTCAGTTCTCCAGTTGAAGACCATTTGATGGGACATGGCACATTGCCTTGAATACTCTGATAGTGTAGAGCAAGTGCAATTGTTTTGTCCTGGTTCACTGCAGTCCTGCATATCAAGCTGGCAACGAATGACAAATCCATCCTTAGGCACACTGCAGGTTGGGGAGACCAAGTTAAGTAGCTGAGAGCAGATCATGGCCTAAATGAAAAGAGAAAGAAAATTGTTCTTAGCAGTGTTTCCCCCATGTGAAACATGTATTGGGTTTGCTGATTTTCTTTTCACCTAGGGCTGGAAGTGATTGCAGTTGAAAGTGTTTGGCCCTGTTATGAATGATATTATATGGCAACATGTTTAAAGCATCATTTAAGGTCTTCAAGACTGTACAGCTTATAATGTTAGGTTTCTAGTTGTTTAACAGTATGTTCTTTAAGGCTTCACTGGTTTCCATGACTATCCTGTAATGACCTGCATGAAATCTCAGAAAGCTGTAGCTAAATGCTGGTAGGTTTGTATAAGTGATATAAATCCACCCTCAGAAATGCCCACAGGCCTTTTTCAAAATGTATCTTAATGCACAGAACTCCTTTCATTCATCATATCATGCTATACAAATTTTGACTTTATCCATTTTCATGGAAGTCAGTTTTATGAAACCACTCTCTCTCTGTTGCTGGTTTATATCTTTCCACCTCTATTAGGAATTGTGCTGCAGAAAAGCCAAGAAGATCTTTCTTACATATTTTTTGTGAGGAACGGTGGAAATTGATATCTCCTCAGACAGGCAGATCTCTGATGGATCATCCATTTTTTGTAATGCAGCAAATTTATATGTATCCAGCAATTTACCTGTAAATTGAAGGGTTATAATTTGTCAGGAAAAAGCCCACATGGATTTGTGTAATTGTTGCTGTCGGATAGCAAAATCAAATTCTACACTTTGACTGTGAAAGGACTTCCTAATGAATCTACTTGATGATAACAACTACCTAGCCCCAGTCAGCAACTAAGCACCACACAGCCACTCGCTCACCTATCCCCTCCCCCAGTGGGATGGGGGAGAGAATCAGAGGAAAAAAGATATAAGAATACTTGTGGCTTGATATAAGAACAGTTTAATAATTGAAAATAAATGAAATAAAATAATGACACTACTACTATGATGCAATGAAAATACTACTAATAATGTTACTACTAATAATAACATGTAATGAAATTACACTGGTCTATTCCCAGAGAAGTGATTGCCCCTCGCAGCCAACTCCCCCAGCTTATATACCAAGCATGACATTTGATATCATGAAATGTCCTTTTGGTCAGCTTCATCAGGTCTCTGGGCTGTGTCTCCTCCCATCTGGGAGGCAGAGGCAGCATGAGAAACTGAAAAAGCCCTTCGTTTAATATAAATATTGCTTGAGAATAACTGTGTTATCAACATTCTTTTCAAAACAAATTCAAAACATAGTCTCACACTAAAAACTTCAATGTTTTATCAACAGTTTTCTCACCACAAATCCAAAACATAGCCTTCTACTAGCTACCGTGAAAAAATTAACTCTATACCAGCCAAAACCAGCACAGCTCTTTACCTGGAGTCCATTCAGTAAAGCATACTTCTATCACTTTGATAATGTCTCTGAGCTATTTCCTGATCTATGACATCTACTACCTTACATGATACCAGCTGCTACTGTTTTCCTGCCAGTTGTGTTATTTTTTTCCAGCTGCTAATTAATACCTCTTCTTTTCACCCCCCACTCTTATATTTTCCCCTACATGTGAAGTTAAACTCATCACAACTCCAAAAAAATATTGTATGCTTTTTAGAACTCTTTCCTTTGATGTGTACAGAAAACTGCACCTGGCTGTGTTGATCTGAAATTGTGCAATGTCATGTCTCCACACTAGCACTGCAGTTCATATTAACAGTGTGCTTTTAAAGCAAGTCTTCCAAACATCCCTACTCCGTAGCATTTGATTTCCATTGCAGAGTGCTCTTGGCATACAGATCTCCTTTAAGATGAAACCAAGCCAGAAGATGTACTCCAAGAGTATGTGTGATGAGCTCCAACTGCTCATGGGCATAAGTTCAATAGCCCAGATCCGAGTGACTCTGAACTGAACCCCCCAAACCACATATAGTGCAGGTGTCAGGTCCTCAGCTCCAACTGTTTTGTTCTGAAGATCCACCTTTATTGGGACATGCTACTTGTTAATGTTCTTGTCCACTATGTTATTTTCATTACAGCTTCATTCTTGCTTCTGCCTAACGTAATAATTTCTCTCACTGTCCCTTACTATCAACCTAGAATGAAAGTTAGGTGAAAGAGAGTGTGATCCTTAACACCGGTTTCTGAAATGTAAGAGTCCTTATCACTTGCCTGTGGAACCCACAATATTATCATCATAGCAAATAATAATAATCATGATAGGTATGTTGGTGACCTATGGGAATGCCTTACTCAATTCTGAATCTGAGTGAGCAGTCAGAGCGACATTAGCAGAGTATGAAATTCCCACCTTGACTCAGTTTAGTCAACTCAACTAGTTTAACTAGTTCTCCTTCCATCTGGCCTGTCCCTAGATCTTACCTTCATTCACAAATTCATTCAATTCATAACCATCATAATTTCCACACATTCCACAGGTTTTCCCCATATATTTTTTTTCAGTCAAAACCTAAAATAAAATAAACACGTTAAAAAGGATCACCATAAGCAAAATGATCTATACAGCATTACCTTTCTCAAAAAAATTCAGTTCAAGGATCCAATTAAAGGTGATCTTTCTCATTAATTTCAGTGACTTGGATAGTGGAAAAGTTTTGGAAGCAGTAACTTCTTTTTCCAATAGGAAAATAATGATTGTTGCAATTTTTTGATTCAATAAAAGAATAAGATTCTAAGATATTTTTGGAGAATTGAGGGGACATAATATTCTAAGGAGCCAGGGGAAAAAAAAAATAAAATAAATTAAAGGAAATTATGCTGTTTCCTTGCTGATATCTTTGTTGACAGAGCACAGATTTCAGGTTTGTTCTCTTACGCAACTGAAGGTTACAGGAAGAAAATCTGTTTTCAGAAGAAGGTTATTCAATTATCTATTGCTCTGGACAGCATAGTGCTAATATTGCTACTGGTGACAATCAATGAATTATTATGAAAACCTTAGATCAGAGGAAATAATCTGACTATGTAGAATATAGTGTGTACCCCTCACAGCAGCATTTCCTGTCATATATGTGATAATAATGCTGTAAATCTCCCAGACAATTCATTACATAACAATCTCCCTGTTTTAGCAAAGTTACCAGTTTAGAATTCAGTGTCTTCTGTGGCATTAATATCACAGGTCATGCTCTAAAATACATCAGGGATTTTGGAGGAAAACCAGGAAAAGATTCAGAAAAAGGAAAGAAATAAAGGAGGTGGTAGAACCATGTGTTTGAAACCAAAAGATGTCTAGGGGAAGCACAGTAGAAATGCCAAAGCTATGGCATACCTCATTAAATTCTACACAATTTCACACAACTCCAAACAACTTCAATATCCCCTTAGCAAAATATTGTAGCTGCTGGAATACTTTAAGGAAAGTTTAAAATCTGTGAAAGCATCCACAAGTCACAACATTGGTGGCTTTTTTTAACTACCAGTGCTGGAAGTGAAAGGAACATGCAGGAAAAAGGAAAGAAAAAAAAAAACCGAAAAAGAGTTCTTTATTTCAAGATGAGTGGATGAAGCAGGAAAAGAGTAAGTATTCAAATTGTAAACACATGCAAAAAGCACCCATTAAGTCTAAGGAGAGCTTTTCATTCCACTGTCATCGAGAATTTTTTCTTCTGCTTCATGAGAGCATTTTACTAACCATGAGATAGTCATCATTGTTCCACATGACAACTAGCTCCATTTCCATCAGCTTGGCCACCAGACGGGTGTTGCGCCCGTAAGGCGCTATTTGAATTCCATTGCTGGTGTAAGGCAACTTAATGACACTGTAATAAGGCAAGAAGAGAAGCTGACCTTTTCATAACAACAGTATACAGGTATTGGTTATCTTTTTTAGATATGATACACATACAGTCTGACTACTTGCACCAACATGAAATAGTATTTTTTTTTCCCTTTGCAACTAACATAAGATACGTTAAAATTTCTGTTGATTGAAAATCAATGCCTGTAGTTTCACAGAATAATCTCCAGTAGATGGTTGCCTACTGATTATACTACTGAAAATGTTTGCACAGGACTTGGCATCTTAATTTCATTTGGTTTTATTAGGGTATAGTAGTATGTTTCAAGAAACTTGTAACAATACACTTTGTATGGTAGAACTGTTGTTGATTATTCTGAAGACCTATGAACTACAGCCTATTAATATTGGAATTATTGCTACAACTGAAAGGTGGTAAGATTAGAGAAACCCAGGGTTTTGTACCCAGGTAAGTATAATAAGATACAGATAATCCACAATCTATTATTTTCTGTATCTGAATGTGCTCACAGGCAAAAACTCAACACAGCCTAACTGATAAAAATTCTGGAAGCTTCCCTGGCAAAGTTTCCTTGTATGGGAGAATCTGTTTAGAAGAATAAGTGATGCAGAACCCAAAAGTTCACATCAGTGTAATTTCTCAGCAAAACAGGTGTTTCCTGGACATAGTAATCCTTGGAATAATGTGAACAGTCAGTGGTCTCATACACAAGAACTTCTTTTTAAGCCTCTCCTATACGTCTATGTTGGTTGTATAGTTCAGTTTCTCTTGTATCCTACATACATGTTATCTTTAGCACAGAGGGTTCAGAGTTAACTAAGTCTTAAATCAAATAAACTCTAAGAAAAAACAGGAATTTCAACTAATACCTACTAAAGGGTATAAACCATTTCATCTGCGCTTATAGTAGAGATAAGCATAAGCAGACTGGTAATATCTAGGAGACTGTAGTTTCAGTGTGAGAACAGTTTTGGTTTGAGAAGGTTAGTTTATCCCTTTGCCTACACAAATGTACTCTGAGCTTGATTCAAATAACTGCAAATTAAATACTTTTCTAGGGAGTATGAATGCTTGATAGGAAGAAATGGGAGTTGAGACCAGCTAGGTGTGCTAACTTCTGTAATTTGTTCACTCATTTTTGACACAAAGTAGTTTTCTTTAGTGCAACTGCTATATAACTCCTTGCTTTCTTAAACACTTTTTTTACATTCAGCACAAAGTCTTACCCAACGCTCCTGACAGAAATGCTGCCTTTCTCAACAATGACCACGGAAGGTCCCAGCTCAATAATGATCCTCGCAATTTTTTTGTCAAGCCCGCGGCGGAACTGAATGTTGAAGTCTGGGCTGGTTTCATCACATACAGTTGCAAAGATATAGTTGCAGGTCCCAGTGAAGTCATACTGGTATTTATCAAATGTTGAAAAATGCCCTCCACCCCAGGTAGAACAGGAATCCTTGCTCAAAACTATTAAAGTGAAAGAGAAAAATGGATTTAGGTCTTCCAGCAGCCTATTTACTCATTCTGATTGCCATTTCAAATATAAATAGCAGGAAAAGCTAGTAAGTTTCTATTCAGATTAATTATGTAAACAACATCCTAGCCATTTTTTTGTGTGTGTGTGTGTAACCACAATGTTTTATCCCAAGTCACGAAATGAAACAATAGTTGAAGTCAAAGAAAAGTATTCTTATTTACTGTATCAGAGGAGCGCTCCCTTCCATTCCCTTCCTGGGTAATATAAAGGTTTACCGCTCCCTTCCATTCCCTTCATGGGTAATATAAAGGTTTACCTTCTTATTTCAGTCTGCTTAATCTGTTTGCAAAGGTGACACCTTGCTCCTAGACAGACCTTTAACATCTCAGACACAACATTTCTGAAGCTATCTATGGCAATACTGTATTATGATTCCTTGCACAGTCAGAGCATTAGCTATCTAAATACTGTCTTCAAAGCCCAACTTATAAGTCCCCATTTTTTTGGCTCAGTGATTGTGTGACAAAGTTCCAGCCAGCTCTGTAAATATATGGAATGTTTTAATCAGTTTTCATTTTTAAAAAGTAATCACTTTTCATCTGAATGGACAGATTTTAGGACATTGAGATGATTCATATTAAAAAGGGATACAATTCCAGCGCTTGATGTTAAGTATTTCTATACCTGCTTAAAGCATTTGAACTGTCCCTGTGAAGTTGACAGAACTCCTGAAATAAGTAAAATCATGTCCTTGGTTATATATTTCTGGACTCAGATCATTATTTTTCATTTTTTCATTATTTTTTGCTTATGGAGTTATATGAAACTCAGGTATCTTAGAGGCAGGAAGTATCAGGTAAGTTTAGAAGAGTCTACCTGAAATCTATATTCACTGCTTTAAAGCAAAATCATTTTTTTACTCCTAAATGATCAAATGATACAGAATGATACTGATTTTGTTGAGGTCATGTAGAAAATATTGGTTCCCAATGAGCTGATACCTGTTGGCAAAAAGTACTCCTCTTCCACACTTCTGTGCTGTCCAGAACGTCTGACTGGAAAAGAGGAATTAGCTAATTGTCATCACTGATGCTTCGTGTCCAATACCAGCTAGTTTAATGTATTGTACTTAAGTGACACTGAGCAGCAAACCCCAGCTTTTTTAGAGTGAGCCAGGGAATGATTATCTGGGGTTGCACAATTGTCAGAGTGCAATAGGTGTCGCTTCCTATAAATATAGGAGTGCCTTCAGAGTATTTGCTTTTATTTGAAGGTTATCAGAGAAAAGTAGCAAATGGGAATGCTAATAACTCAAGAAAGTTTAAAACTAGATTATATATTTGTCTCGAGTTCAGTTTTTATTAAGTGATACCTAGGGACTGTCTTTTAATTTGTGCATATCCATGCCCTATCATTCCTCTTGTTGTAAAACCAGAGAGGAGATAGAGATGATGAGTTGATTTTTTTTTTTTTTGGCTTATGTTGAATGAGAATTCACCTAATTCAAGTTGCTGTCTGCTGCTTCTGCCTAAAGAAACACTTCTCATTATAATACATTTGCATTCTGTATCATTCTGTTTGTTCTACACCTCTGCATTTTCCCCCAAACCAGATTAAGAATATAATTGACAGTTGGATGTTGAAGAGGAGATCTGCCCATACCATGACTCCCCCCACTGGTTTCTGGCTATAAAGGTGAGGAAGAACTATTCCATATTCTGATCTTCCATTTGCACATAAATTTGTTTTAACCTGCAACCTTTAAAATACTCTCATGGACCAACCTAAATGGACAATCAGCTTTGTTTCATTTCCTGCATTTTGCAGTATCAAAAGAATCCATTTCCAAATTCTTAGATAATATTAGGCAGCAATCTACAGGAATGAAAATCAAACTGATCACACAAATGACCCCAGTAGCAAATTTCTAAATGCGGAAGGCTACTAAACTGCTCACAGTTTCTATCCTTAGGCATCAAAACCTCAGCATGGCACATTAAAGCACTTTGGAATTAGTGTAAAACTTACCAGAGCGAGGCAACATATTTTTACATATTTGTCTTTTCATAGCAAAATCTTCATTTGGCATTTCTAAAAGTAATGATTTAAAATGTATGCTCCTTGAGGCAAGGACTTATTTTTATTATGTGTTTTGTACAGTGTCTTTTTCATTAGGAAATTGATGCTGATTGGAGTTGTTACTCATAGTTGAAATGTCAACATTAAATACCAGGTCAGTCACTTACTTCTTTGTAGAGATTCTTTCTGTTTTTGGAGAAAAAAGTGGGGCCAATAATTTCCTTCAAAGGCTGTGGAAGAAAAAACACAACAGGAAGAATTTATATTCTGAGCACAAGGAAGCTGAATATTTGTATATTTAATAATTTTTAAACAGGGTACTATTCAAAGTACTGTCAGCACATGTGCATTGTGTCCTGCCACAAAAACAATGGAAATTATAGTGGATAGACACCTAATTAATCTCTTAATAAAAAAATTCTTCTGTGACTGGTACAATGTTACAAAAAGCTGCCAGAAACCCTATGCGATGTGGGATTTCATGTATTTCATCCTCAAATCCTATGTTCCTCGTTTAAAAAAAAAAAAAAAAGGGGGATCTTTCTTCATGCTTTTTTAATTCTTGTTCCACCATCTGGGTAGAAGTGGTGGAGAGAACAGCCAAAACTGGGAAAATAAAGGAAAAGTGAAGTTTGGCTAGTGTTTCAGTACAACCTCCATGGTTGGCCTGCAACTCTGCAGGCATCTCCAGAGTACAGCACACTGCTCCCTCTGTCCTTCCACGTTCCTAATGAGCTGTGCATCACAGTAAGTACAGCACAAAAATCAATAGAGTCAGTTTGTATGGCTATTGAGCTAACACTCTTTACACCTAGAGTTGCTCATGACTTTTTTCAACCCTTTGATTTTGTTCAATAATCTATTATTATTGGTTTAACAGTTTTGCAATCACTACAGTTTAACCCCGAACTACAAACTCTACATCAATGGGATTTAAGAGTTTGTACCAGCTGCCTTCAGAGGATATTTGATTTGCAGGAACTGAAGATATACCTAAAGCATTATTTCCAGTGAGATCTAACTAGAGAGCTTATTGTAAAACAAGAACTCTAATACTTCATGGACAAATATTTTAGATCAGTACAGACTGTTTGGCTTACAAAGCTTTTTTGTGAACTCTTCAGACTCAAAATTCACAAGTCTAAGCATGCCAAACAGTTACCAAATGTTACAAAGACTCCAGGTTTGATATTTAGATTCAAACATTGAATGTAATAATCATCCTGGATTATGTGGAGTTATGTAAGAGTTATACTGAAAATAATGAAGGATATGAAATCCACTTTAACATTTTGCTTGAAGAATGGCTAGTTAAAAAAAAAACCAAACCAAAACCAAAACCCAGAGCTATTTGCTGACTATCTGCCAATAAGTCTATATCCTGTCAAATCAAACTATTAAACTAATTACAGTATGGTAATTATTCTCAGCATTTTCATTGTTTTTCTCACACTTAACTCCTAAGAGATTAGTAAAATCATCCTGGCAATTTTATTAACCATTCACAACGACATGAAATTGTAGATTGCATAGATGCAGGAAGTGCTATGGCCCCATGTAGAAGTTGTACCTAGCAACCATTTAGGAATTTTCCACTGAAAAGGCTTTCCTAGTGGTAAATGAGATTTCTAAACTACTGAAATCTTCCTTATTTACATTTTACTATTCTGCAACACTGTAACTGTATTCTGTTTATCTTTGAGAAACAGGATGATTTTGAGTTGACATGAAATACTTAATTTTGAATTCGTTCAATAGACTTTAAACAGACTTTAATTTTTCTAATATAAAGGAAGTTTTACTTTCAGTTCCTACTCTACTCTGGTTGGCCTGACTTCCTTGAGAATCATATCTGTCACAGAGCAGTTTCTGTGTGGTCAGTCTGTCTTGTTCATGCATGTTTGCTGCTTTTTTTTAGTTATCAATTGAAAGAGGAAGTCGGTCTTCCAGTTTCCATCAGACTTCACATCAAATACATGTTCTTACAATGAATATTTACAGTTCTAGTTAGAGCCAAGACTTAAGGTATGGAATTTAGATGCAGAACCACGATGAGGAGAATTCAATCCTTTCAATCCTTGCTTTGATTTAACTCATTCTAAAGAGACAAGACTTGGGTCTGGATTTCAAAACAATGAGCATCTTGCATGCTGGCCAGTTTTAGAACATACAGATCAATCTCTTATGGTTCAGATATGACTCCAAAAATTGTCTGATTGTCTGAAATCTTACTTGACAGAATGAAATCTCTATTTGTTTTCACAGTCTCCAACCTCACATGGTATTTCAAGGCCCCAAAATGCTGATACATCCCACAGTGAGAAGACTGCTCTATAAGAATTTTCTAGATCCTAACTTTAGGTTTTTATGTTTAAATTCAACTGAAGCTTCATCATAGACAATCAAGTCCTTTATAGATGAGGCCCTATTTGTAATTTCCAAGTTTATACATAAAGCTTGTGTCCAAATAGGGCTTAACAGTAATTTTCCATTTGATTGAGAGTATTAATATTTATAATAATACATCTACTCATCTAACATATGAAACCATGTAGATTAACAACTTGCAGGCATCTGTGTTTGGGGTTAGGACCCATGTTCTGGTACTTTATTTGATCTTGGTTACAATGGTGCTAATGCAGTGAATGGAGTTATACTTGATTTATAACAATATAGCTAAGATTAGAAATTGGCTCCAAGTGTCTACAAAAGGGTTGAGTTGCTTTTTTTTTTTTTTTGTTCTACAGTTTAAGTCAGTGATTTAAGAGCAATACATGTCCTCATGTAATTTGAACTATATGGTTCATTAAATGTAGTAAACACAGTACAGAAGAAATAAATTTAACTTTGCTGAAACTAAAGCAAGTAAAGTATGCTTTATAGCAGCTTGCGACTATTTTTGAAATCAGAACTGTAACAATTCATGATTACACAGAATGTACAGAAGTGATAAAAATAAACAATTATCACAAGCAATGCCAAACCATGGCAAAAAAAGCCCACTCTCAAAGAACCTATTGAAAATACTACAGAAGGAGGAATGAGTAAGAAGGCAGAGTAGATAAAGAGTCAATGAACTTAGTTGTCAAGTCTTTTTAAAACATTATTACAGAGTCATCTGATATTCAGATGGGTCGTATCAAAAAGGTAAGGCAGAGCCCTTTAAAAGACTAAAGAATTACATTGAAAAATATATGCAGGAATACTTTTAAGAGTCATGTAAATTTTTTAAGCCTGGAATCCTTTGCCTCTTTTCCAGCACAGGATTCTTGCTATCACATCATTCTTCAAAAAAGTAATGCCATCCCATACCTCACACTTAATATTTTTTGCAGTTGGCATAAAAAGAAAAAAGGTTTTGATCATCATTCTACATAGAAGATATATACAGCTTCCACAATGACATCACTAGAACACTGCATCATGAACATCTTAAAGATGAAGGCACTTGGCAGCTTGGAAAGACAACATTAAAAAAATACTCCCTGTATCTAGGGAACCAGTTTTAGGAAATGATCCAACAAATCAGTAAGCACATTTCTAAAAAAGGTTAAGAACAAACAGTTCTATTTCAGTCATGTACTTATTAAATATGCAGTTGTGTTTTAAGATGTAGCAAGGGAGAAGAAAATGTGTAAACTTAATTCTGATGGTTGGGGAAAAGGAGAGTGAGACCTGAACCTCATTCCGTTTTAATATTACAGTGAAGTCACCCACTTTGTTTCAATACATGCATATTTTCCTTCAAATCATATACCAAGAGTAACACAGGCATCTTAGACTTACCAGCAGATTGCAGAAAACTGCAGAAGATGAGCAGTATTACTGTTGGCAACATGATGCATGCCCTAACTGGAGAGTTCTTTCAGTACACTCCTCCGTTTCAAATGGCAGTGCCACTGCTGCCACTTCCTAGGCTTACCTTTTCAAGCTTGGATGCTTTATATACAGAATTGCAATGCCCTCCCTCATTCCCATGGCTTTCAGAAATTGCAACAGCAGAGCACCCGCCAAACAGGATCTCCTCTTTATCAAGCTCAACACACCTAAATGCCATTTAGAAAGAAAAGAAAAAAGAAAACACAAACCTCCTCCAGTTCATTATCATTCTTGCAAGGTTTTTATAATGGCTTCTATTTGTAACAGCTCAAACACATTTAGCTTCATTTACTGAACAAATTTGGTATTATACCCAAAAGCAACATGCAAAAAGACAAATAAAATACACAAATTATGGTCACTATCTGATAAGGAGAGGAATAATACTGGACCAGTACACAAAGTGGAAGAATGAAGTGCAGGAGTTTTGGAACTGCTGGAAAGAATGTGTGGATAAAAGATGGTAAGGCATGAATGAACAGATACAGATCTCAGATTTTTTTTATTAACTTTTATTCGCTCTACCAAGTGATTGTGTTCATCTCTCCCCTCTGTGACTTTTTAAGCAAAGTGATAAACTTCGCCCCAGTAAAAAGGGCTGTCCGTGGTACAAGCACAGGAATATGCAGCTGCTTTCCTGAATTTGCAGAGGAGCTAAATAAGGTCTTGCCTACCACCTTAGCAATGCCAGGTGCAGAGGGCAATCTATTTTACCAAATGGGAAAGGCTATTGCACTGTGGTACTCTGACAACTCTGAGAAATTAATCTCCACTTTCCCACCAACATCCCAAAAGATCAATTCCAGTTCTGTTACAACACTTGGATCTCTCCACATCAGAGGTGAAATGTTGAATGCACTGGATGTGTTCATTGTATCACTGCCACCCCTGAACTGACAAAAGACAAGAACTTTACTTTCTTGATCCTGTTATTTTGCACTAGCACAGTAATTACTTAAAGAAAAAAAGAGTCTAATTAGAAGACAGCTTTCCCCATAAAATATAAAAGGTATGGATTACGTGTCCAGTATGAATCTCTTCAGCCTTTTCTGTTTCACCTATGCAATAATTATTTTATGTAATTCATTACTTTCCTGGATTTCTATTGTTCGTCCTTCCCTGGTATCATTC